CTTCCTTCCTTCCTTCCTTCCTTCCTCCCTTCCTCCCTCCCTCCATCCCTTCCTTCCTTCCTCCCTCCCTTCCATCCATCACTGCTAGCTGTTTTACACAGCGGTGAGAAAAGGAATGATGGGGTTACTGCATCTTTAACATGTCTTTGTGCTCAGGACCTTGGAAGGGAATATTTATCTGGACCGATGGTTTCAAAGGTTTTAAACCATCCATGGTTTCGATTTGAGTCTGTGGTGTGGCAGACGACATGGCGGAGAGGGCCTGGGGAGACAGAGCTGCTGAAGAAGTAAAAGAGCAAGGGCTCCCTCCTCGTGAGACATCTTTCTCCCACGGGGTCTCACATCTTAACGGTTCCACCACCCCCCAGCAGTTCCTCAGACCGGTGACTGAGCCTTGAATGCAGGAGCTCTGGAGGGACACTTCCGATCCGAACGTAACCCAGACTGGCCTTGAACACTCTAACTGAAGCTGACCCTGAATTCCGGATCCTTCTGCCTCTACCCACTGAGTGCTGCAGTTACATGTACTGCACATCCAATATGCAGTCATCTTTCTAAATACAACATAAATATAGAGATGAACTCAAAAGCCAAATAAACAAATAAATCAATTAACTAATTAGTTAATTAAAAGGCATATTCAAGCCAGGCAGTTGTAGTACACACCTTTAATCCCAACACTTGGAGGCAGAGGCAGGTAGATATTTTGAGTTCGAGGCTAGCCTGGTCTACAGAGCTAGTTCCAGGACAACCAGGGCTACACAGAGAAGCTCTTTCTTTGGAAGAGCAGCCAGTGTTCTTAACCACTAAGCTATCTATACCCCCCCTCTCTTTTTAATCAGTGAAATTCAGCAAGTCTGTGTCTGTAATTCCATCACTTGGAGGAAAGCTGAGGAGGATAATTGAGAGCTGGAGGCCAGCCTGGGCTATGTAGTGAGACCTGGTATCATCAACAACAGAAAAGCAAGCTAGACTGGCTACATTATAGTCCATCATACACTGAGATCTGCCATTCATAGTCACTGTCAGAGAAAGGGCATGGAACAAGACATTCAGAAAGGAGTCAGAGGCCGAGGGAGACAGGAACAGTGAGAGGACAGAGTATAAGAGCTACAGTCAGGTGGCATGTTTAAAAAACAACAAAACTACAGCCGAGGGTCGGTCATTACATCACCTGATGACAGCCAGAGGCTGGGTCCCTGGAACAGGAAGATAGGATTTGTGGACCGAGGCAGTTCACTCTTTAGCTTCAGCAACTTCCATGGGTTCCACGCTAGAGAAAACTAACCCAGAAGTATTGAGAGCCGCTGGAAGCAAAAGTCCATGAGAGTATACAGCAGGCGACAACTAGTGTTCAGGAGTCAACCTATCAGAGCTCAGGCTTCGGTTAGAGGAAACCATCATGCAAGGCATTATGGAATTACTGCCTCTTGAATGAACTGGCTGTCTCTTGTAAACTTCTTGTGCAATAACAGCTATGATTCTCCCCATTTACCATGCATCTCCATGTTACATGTACATGTAATCTCATGATTGCATCTCAATCTTGGGCACAACTTTCCCTATACATTTGGAACTAGCTCACTGTACTGGCCCCATTGGAATCACATTAAACTGCGAGAATGCCCTTTTCTCAAAGGAGAGTGTTTTTCTTGTATGGCAATCTAGGGTTCAATTAAACTTCCTAAATGGAGTTGTATCACATTCAGTTTCAAGCTCTAGCAGCAAGTGTTAATTCAGTGTAAGAACACACTTTTGTGCTATTCTGGCCATACACAGTGCAAATAGCATTCGTGTCTGTTCCCAGCAAGTACAGTGTATTGGACTGCAGAGAAGCTCCTGTTTTACTTAGTTTAAAATACTGAGTTGAACTAGATATGCCAACAAAAGGCTTTTCACTAACATCAATAAACTATATACTATAAGAACAATTATCAGGTAAGAATTACATTCACAATGTCCAGTCCATTTATATTTGGCAAGTTTGGATAAAGCAATCTATTATCTATCTTATATTGGTGAGTTTTGTACCTAAATCACTTTCTATCATAACTTGCATTACCAACCTAAAAATTCTTTTTAGATCTTAAAACATTTTCTTAGATGGGGCTGGAGAGATGGCTCAGAGGTTAAGAACACTGACTGCTCTTCCAGAGGTCCTGAGTTCAATTCCCAGCAACCACATGGTGGCTCACAACCATCTGTAATGAGATCTGGTGCCCTCTTCTGGCCTGCTGTCATATATGCTGTATACATAATAAAAAATAAAATCTTTAAAAAAAAAAAACCATTTTCTTAGATAAACAATTTAAGCTTTTATGTCTCTCAACCTTTATAAACTTTAAATCTCTCTTTGTGAGTTTCTTCTCTGAATTTGGTAACAAGGAAAACTGTAAAACTATAACTATCTAGTCTTCAACCCCATCAAAGACCTGAGAAGGATGTAATATTACCTCTTCCAAACAACTTCCAAAACTAAGAAATGACAGAGACAGCTGGCTACCTGGACAGTCGAGTCACTCAAGGTTCCTCTGCAACACTGGAGCACCCATCTTCAGCCTACAAGCCCAGAATATCTGACAGACTTTTCTGTGAAGCAGGAATTTTGAAGGACTGTCCTCTCTTGTCTTGGCGAAGTTTAGCAATTGACTTCCTTTGTGTCCTACTTGTCCAATCTGGACAGCATACTGTCAGCAGTTGAGACAAGGGCAGTTTCTTGCCCAGTGGCTAACTTTGCCGCATTTAAAGCAAACTCCATATGGGGGTTCTTTGGTGCCTATCATCTTCTTTGAAGTAGATTGGTGCTGCCAGGAGTAGACGTATCTCACTGTCATGAAAAGCATTATGTTATTAAAACAACTTAAATGCCATATTCTGTAGATCTCTGAAGTGTTTGAAGACCATCTGTTTATCTCAAATATATCTCTGTTTAACTTTGAAAACATAACTAACATGACTATAAGTTTGATTTTTATAGGTGACTACTAACTTGAATTTCCTAATTATCCTAAACAGTTTTTTGTTTTGTTTTGTTTGTTTGTTTGTTTGTTTGTTTGTTTTGGTTTTTTGAGACAGGATTTCTTTGTGTAGCCCTCACTGTCGTGGAACTAACTCTGTAGACCAGGCTGGGCTCAAACTCACAGAGATCCACCTGCCTCTGCCTCCCAAGAGCTAGGATTAAAGGCATGTGCCACCACTGCCTGGCTAATAATTTGTTATTATATATACAGTGTTCTTCCTGCATGGATGCCTGTACACCAGAAGAGGGCACTAGATCTCATTATAAATGGTTGTGAGTCACCATGTGGTTGCTGGGAATTGAACTCAGGACCTCTGGAAGAGCAGCCAGTGCTCTTAACCTCGGAACCATCTCTCCAGCCCCCACCAGTTTGTAATAGTAGCTTTCAAGGACTAGAACTTTTTTTTTTTGGGGGGGGGGTTCGAGACAGGGTTTCTCTGTGTATTTTTGGTGCCTGTCCTGGATCTTGCTCTGTAAACCAGGCTGGCCTTGAACTCACAGAGATCCACCTGGCTCTGTCCCAAGTGCTGGGATTAAAGGCATGCATCACCACCGCCTGGCTTTCAAAGACTAGAACTTTACATTTTTTTGTTTGTTTTTGTTTTTCAAGACAGGGTTTCTCTGTGTAGCTTTGCACCTTTCCTGGAACTCGCTTTGGAGACCAGGCTGGCCTCGAACTCACAGAGATCTGCCTGCCTCTGCCTCCCGAGTGCTTGGACTAAAGGCGTGCGCCACCACCGCCTGGCTACATTACATTTTTAAATGAGTTGCATAGGTACGATACATTAACCAAGAGTAAAAACATATACATTATGTTGGAACAAAAATCACCTTAAATTTGTATCAATATACAAAAATCCATACCAATGTAAAATATTTGAGACTAGTAGTTGTCTTTTAGTTTAAAAGTAGATTCAATAATCTACCCTTTTATCCTATCATTTTTATATTTCTTCCCTTTTTCTTTTCATCCATCATCTCCCTTTCTCCCCCAACACTTTATAGAAGAGAAAGAAGGATAGAAGAAAGAGATTCCTTAATCTAACCTCCTTTGCTTAATTTCCTCCCTGACCATGACCAATAACAACTTGCAACTAACCTCCCTAAACAACAACAAATATCCATAACCCATCAAACCTCAAAAAACCTCCTCTTGGGAACGTGGGTGTCTTGTTCTTAAAATTGCTTCCTGCTGTCTGGAAGTAATGTCATCTTTAGGGGACCCTGAGGAAATTAAGATAATGGTCAAGTCCTAGGAAAACTAGCCGTATCATTCATTGTTTTGTCTCTGTGTGATGGGAAGGTTCAGGGATTAACTGAAGTCCTGGCTGGAGTAGTCTGAGGCTGGACCATCTTAGCTAGCCACTTTGAAGTTGTCCTGGATGCTGATTTTTGAGGAAACAGCAACATAGGCATTGTGAGAGGCTGGATCACCTAGGCTACTTGTCTGTGGAGGCCCAAATTACTGAGGGTCAGAGAAGCTGAGCTTACTTTACCCAGCAGGGCTGCATAAGGGGATGATTTGACCACAGGCATGGTTACCAGTTGTTTGGAAGGGTCTACACTTGGCTGTGCAATAATGTGCTTTGATCTTACAAGGGGGAGGTCTTTTGCCCACCCCTTGGCATTGTTATAAAAAGCCCCTTTGAATGAATGGAAAAGGCTGTTGGGTATTGACCCAGGTCCTCCCAAAGCTATCCTGTGTTTCTGTCTGTCTCCTCTTTGCTATCTTTTTATTTAATATTTTCTTATCCCTCTCTCCTCATAAGAACTTGAAAAGGTGGGAGCTGGTCTCCCAGACTTGTCTTCATTGGTGTCTGGTCCTTTTGTTCTGAAAGCACACAAACTTTTAAAGATATCATACATATCTGCATTAACATAAGTATGAAATGTGTGATGTGCACAAATCAGCTAAAGATGAATCTCTATTCTGTGTTTGAGCAGGTAAAAGGTATCTGTCAACTTTATAAATCCATTTGGACTGCATAACAAAACTGTAACATAAATCTCCATCCATGCCGTATGAAAGGATAACTTGTAATAATAAGTCATGAGGACTCTGTAGCCAACAAGATTGATCATGTCTGATCCAGTCTCAGAGTTGTTCCCATGTAGAAGGATCAGCTTATACATCACTGTCTTGTAGTTTTTCTTGGTTTCTTCCTTCATGTCTGCAGCCAAGATATTCAGGAGGCCTTTCCCAGTCAAATATGATCTTTATTAATTATAAAGGAATCCATAGCTTTTCATTTCCTATGGAAACAAAGGCATAATCTCTCCCACAATGCAACACATTTCCTTAATTCCATTCTGAAGTTAAGAAATCCTTAAAATATATAGGCTGGTTTAAATCAGCAGTTTTTTCCACAATCCAATGTCTCTCCTCAGCTGTTGTTTTTTTGATCATTAGCATTTTAAAATGTAAAGTTAATAAAGCACTATTAATCTCTCTCTGGGGGTCTTTGTTACCCCTTCCTGTTCATTAAGCATCTCTGGAAAGTATGATTAGATCTTTCTACAACTGCTTGTTCTGTAGGATTGTGTGGTATGCCTGTAATATGCTTTATGTTGTAATATGTAAAAAATTGTCTCATTTTCCCTGGTTGATCTGCATTCATTAGCCCAATGCCAGCCTTTGGCACACCTCTGCATACTCCAGTAGGCTGGGTTGTGGTGGTATTGTGTTCCCCAGAATATTGTGTATCCTAATAAACTTATCTGGGGTCAGAGAACAGAAAAGCCACAATATTAAACATAGAGGATAGGCAGTGGTAGCACACGCCTTTAATCCTAGCATTCCAGAGGCAGAAATCCATGGGTTCAAGGATACAGCCAAGCATGGTGACTCATGCCTTTAATCTCAGAAAGCAAGCCTTTAATCCCAGGGAGTGGTGGTAGAAAGCAGAAAGATATATAAGGCGTGAGGACCAGAAATGAGAGGCTTTTAGCTGGTTAAGCTTCAGGCTTTCGCACAGCATTTCAGCTGAGAGCCATTAGGATGAGGACACAGAAGCTTCCAGTCTGAGAAAATAGGACCAGCTGAGAAGTTGGCCAGGTGAGGTTAGCTGTGGCATGTTCTGTCTCTCTGATCTTCCAGTATTCACCCCAATAACTGGCCTCAGATTTGATTTTATTAATAAGACTCTTTAAGATTCCTGCTACACTGTGGCCTTCTTTTTAAATTATCTCTTGAAAAAACATTATTTCTAGGAATGCCTTGTCTACAATCCCTTTTGAAATCATCTTGCTTGCCAAAGCCAACACATTTGACAGGTTGGCTTTCCTTAAAACCTTCAGATTACTTCTATTAAAGTTGCATCATTAGTATGAGATACAGTGTGAGTCATATTTCTGATCCATTCATCTGTTGGTACTGATCTTGCCTTTAGAGGCTTGATCACCTTTTTGCATTCAGAATTAGCATTTCAAAAGCCAAAGATTTGATTAATATTTGTCTGACTTCTGGATCTGATACTATTCTATTTACAGCTGAAGTCAATCTTTGCATAAAATCAATGACAGCTTTTTGGGGAGGGGCTTGTATAATTTTAGTAAATGACTCAGACCTCTTTCCTGATTCTTCAAACTTATCCCAAGCATTTAAGGTTGCTGAACAACATAGCACCAAGGTGTGGTCATCAAATTCAAATTGCCTTTGCAATTCAGCATACTGGCCTCCACCTAGCAACTGATCCTGGGAAATATTAATACCTCTAGCCCTACTTCATTGTTCTATGGCCCTAGCTTCCTCTTTCTACCATGTTCTCCATTGTAACTGAGGACCAGCTTCCAACATTGCTGATGCCAAATCTTTCCAGTCTTGGGGGCTAATTCTATTCTGAGTTGCCCAGGAGTTTAATATCTGCTTCACATAGGGTGAATGCATACCATATGAATTGACTACTTCCTTGATCTCCTCAAATCTAATATTTCTATAGGATTCCATTTAACTTCTTCATAACCTAAATTTGGTACTAATAACCTTGGGCTGCCCTTCTTCAGTTTCATCATGCAGTGATGTGGTAGGTTCTTGTCTAAATTCTTGTCTGTGTCTGAGTGTTTTTCTTATTTTCATTAATAAGTCTTTCTAAGACTTGTATCCTATCAGTCAACATTCATATTTGGCACAATTATCAAACCACATTTTATATTTGCCACAAAAGGACACTGTGGCTATTAAGGATACAATGTGAATTAACCAGACTAATAGTTACAATTGGCATTATGTCAATCCCAGCTAAGTTGTTTATCTCCTCATATACTGCTTCCATTTTTAAGCCATCCATAGTAGCACCATACAGTGTCGTAACACCCTGTATTATATTTCCCATCCTTAATGTGGGAAGGATTTTTCTTTTTAATATTATTTAACTCTCTCCTAAAGGACTTGCCAAATGTCTTATTGACTTTTCAGTTTGTCTGCAGAGGCATAGGTGGAAAACTTGGGCCCCTTCCATGATTTCCAAAAGTGAGCCACTTTTCCGAGTACCCAAGAGCGGCAGCAGCAGCAGTACCAGCTGGGCTGGCATGACCTCTCTGTTCTCAATAGAGCGCCAAATGTTGTGAGTCTTTCTTTGGACCACCAGCTCCCAAAAAATGACATGGAGATTTTTTATTGATTATGAAAGCTTGGCCTTACCTTAGGCTTGTCCCCAACCAGCTCTTATAACTTAATTAATACATTTATATTAATCCATGTTCTGCCACGTGGCTCATTACTTCTCCTCAGTACCATACATCTGACTTCCTCTGTGTCTGGCAGGCGAATCTCCTGTGCCTCAGATTCTTTCCCACAGTTCCTATCTCTC